AAGTAACAAGGTACCTCAAAACTTAATAGTGAGTTGTGGAGATGGCTCAGCATGAGGATCTACATTCAGTCCCCAGCCATGTACCACACAGTTAGGGGGCTGACACAGGAAGATCCTAGGGGCTTGCTGGTCAGTCTATTGAGCTTAGAGCATGAGCTTTAGGTTCACTGTGAGACCATATCTCAGAAAAAAGGTGTAACAATTAACAAAGATACCCCAATGTCAGCCTCTGGCCTCCAACATCTCCACATGTGTTAGCATGTGCACCTGTACCTCTACACAAGTATGCACACATATATACCACACACATACACACACACACACACACACACACACACACACACACAGACACACAAAATTTAGAAGCTGGAGCTGAAATCATCCAAACTTCTCACTCATTCCTGTGTGTGATGTTGATGCCACTTACCAGTGGAGAACTTAGCAGAGACTTAGCCAGAACACTGATCAATGCCTCTTTGTGTGCTCTGTGCTTCCTTACAACATAGAAGCTGGGTTTCCAGAGCAAGCATCCCAAAGGACAGAGAAAGCCAGTCAGGGACTGTCACTCTTTATGATTTAGTCTCAGAAGTCATGCAGTGTGTTGTTTATGCCACATTTTATTCACTGAGGCAACCACAAAGAACATTCTAAAGTCAAGAAGAAGGGACACATGGACTCTACCTTTTGTTGGCACAATCCTAGAGTATGTGAGATCAGAATAATGCTGAAGTCAGTTTGCAAAAAATCTTTTTTTCCACACAGAGCTGTTTGGTGGCAGAGATAGACTCAGGGCTCTGGTCTACATGGCTCTATACCATGATCTTAACACTGGACCCCAGAATTCTAGGGAGAAGACTCAAGCCTACCTCTAGCTCAGTGGCATTTGGCATGTCAATATTGCACCTGGATCAGTGAGCAGGCAAAGTCTAACATAGAGGTAGGTGGCTTGAATTTTGGATCCACCTATAGTGTGGGCTTATGATGTCAGGATAGGAAAGCCGTCCTGTCTCCTGAACAGCAGAGTCACCTGGAAGACGTGTCGAAGCAATGGGAATAGTTCTTGAGCATCTTCAGGGTTCTGAGAGTTCTGCAGAATAAAAAGCAAAACAAATAATCACATCTGCATTAATGAAACTTACCAAATAGCTTAGTAGAAGAATAAAACACTTGGTATTAAATGTTTATTAAACTAAAATATTTTACTCATTAAAAAACCTTGGGGTTGGAGAGTTAGCTCTGCTGGCAAAATCCTTGCCTTATCATCACGAGGACTTCATTGCAGTCCCCAGAAATCATGTATTTATCACCACACCAAACCAGTCAGGCACAGTGGAGGGAGGATATTGCAATCCCGGAGCTGGGGAGGTAGAGACAGGAGGGTCTCTAGGGTCTCTGGCCAGCCAGCCTAGCCTATTTGGTGAGTTCCAGCCTAGTGAGAGACCCCTGCTCAAAAAACACAAAGGATAGCATCTGAGGAACAACACCAAGGTTGACCTCTGGCCTCTACACGTACACCCACACAAGTAAATGTGCACATGAACATGCATACACATGCATACACACAGAACAGAAAACCTCAGACATGTAGTGACTAGACAATGTTTAATAGAAATGAAAAAAGAGTCTAAAATAACAGATGGCATGGTGGTAAAATAGGATAGTACGTGTAACTGTCAAGAAAGATGTGAACCATCAAAATCCACAGTATTGCAACGTTCTCTCCTCCCTTCCTTCCCTCCTTCCCTTTCTCCCTCCTTCCCTTCCCAGGCAAATTGCATATCTATAGGTCTAGAAGCAGGAGTTATTTCTGATACAGAAGAATAATTGGGTCCAGGAGGAGCAGTGAGTAAAATATCAGAGGAGAAACAGATGAAAGTATTCACCATTTGTCACCTACATCATAAGTGGCCAGGTTGGGGGGGGTGGTAGAACATGAGGGTGGCATGGATCCTTTACCTCTGAACCTGTGGAGTACTTTGGGGGAAGTTCTCAGGGACTTAACATGATAAATTAATATGCACCAGACTCTGATACTGTGGGTAGCCAGCTATCTGAATGTGCTTTGGGGACCCTTAATTCTAGGGCAGCTCCAGGTGGCAGAGGCCAGGCTGTTTCAGCTTCTGGGAGTGGGTCTGTCTCCAGCAGGAGTGAAAAATGACCCCTGAATAGGAGTAAGAGCTCTCAGTGCATAAGAAGGAGTAAAAGACCTGTAATTTCATAGCAATTACTCCCAACCAAAGTTGTCAAAAGCTTCAGTTTTCTGTGATAAACCTGAACCTCTGCTGGGAGAGAGCTGCAAGGTAGAAATCAGGCAGGAATAGGGGTTCTGTCTGCCATCTGAGCACCACAGATAAGCAGGCCTCAAAAGGGGGTAGATAACAGGTAGGGCTTTGGGAATGTTTTTTCTCTCTCTCTAAAAAAATCTTGGGCTGGGGAGATGGCTGGCTCAGACGTTGAAGCACTTGCTGTACAGGGATGAGGACTGAGTCTGGATTCCTAGAATCCACGGAAATTCCAGGTAGACAGGTGGGCGTGGTGGCTTTTCTGTAGTTCCAGCCTCAGAAAGCAGACCAAGCTGGCTAGCAAGAGTAGCCATATTGGCTAACTCTGGGTTTGATTGAGAGACCCTGATTCAGTGAATAAGGTGGAAGAGTGCTCAAGGATGACTCCTGATGTGAACCTCTGGCCTCCACATGCGTACACACACACACACACACACACACACACACACACACACACACGAACGCACGAATGTGCTCAAAGAAAAGAAAAGAAAACAAAACAAAAGTTCTTAGTCATCCCCTGTTCCTGGATGTTGGTTTATTGTTTCCAGCTTTGTTAGAAAGCCCAGGGGTCTCTGTTTCCTGCGGAGTCCCTACCAGGTGAGGCCAAGGTCTCCAGGGAAGCCAGCATCAGAGACTGAAGGGTCAGATATTTCTGTCTATCAGCATCACTTTTGGGTTGCCAAGAAACCACTGGATGGAAACAAATTACATAGATACCAGTTTCCCAATCTCTTTTGTTTGCTCTTAAGTTTGTTTGAAATAAATTCTTTATACAACTCAATTTTTCCCAGCCCATTCAGGGTGTACTAGACACAGGCTTCCCTCTCAATGTGAAAACACATGATGTACCGAGGAAGACCATGAGGAGGGGAGGTGAATGGGACAAGTATACCAGCACTCTCCAGTGGTGTGGTTTATATATATTCTTGGATTCCTTTGCCCACCTTGGCCACAAGCTCCCAGAAGAAATGCATTGAAAAACCTTCAGGGTGGTTTCCCCAGTGCCTTCCATACCATTGATCATCAACACATACTTTTTGAGTATATAATTTAACTAATGAGTGGTATATTGATACTGAAGACCAGGTAGTAGTCAGAACTAAGTGCCACATTGATTGAAGTCTTTTCCCTGCTGGTTAGCCCAGCTACGAGGAGGTGGCATCCAAACCCGAGATCTGTACCCATGATATCCTCATGGGGAAAATCTAACAGGAACACCAGAGCTCATGCTGCCTGTCACATAGAGGCCAATGAGAAGTGACAGGAGTTGAGTCTGTACTCTGTGCTTTATTCAGAAAGACAGCAATCTGAGACAGCATATTAATATCCCAAGGATCTGTCTTCAGTCTCATCTTTGGCCAGCAGAAGACGGGGGACAGAGGTGATAGGGCAAAGACAGTTTATCACTCCTGAGTGTAGTCATGTCCCTCACTTTTGAGATTTGTGATGTCTGTATTTATCTCCTCACACCCCACCCCCCGCACTCTTCCATTATTTTGTGGATATCTGGGCTCAGGCATGTCTCGAAAAACTGAGTCAAGTTATTTTCTGCTGGTGTCAACCTTGTATTCCTTCAGAGGCATCTGGGCTGGGGAAGGAGGTGACTCAGAACAAACAAATCATTAACTGTATATGTGCTAAGTTGTAATAATATACACATGTAGATGCCTTTATTTTTCAAAAAAATACTTTGTTATTTTTATGTGCATGTGTGTATTGCCTGTGTGTATGTGAGTACACCCATGTCACGTCATGCAGTGCCCACAGAGATCATAAGAGAGCATTGAACTCCCCTGGAACTGGAGTTATGGATGGTGGTTAGCCACCATGTAGGGGCTGGGATTAGAAATCAGGTCCTCTGCAAGAGAAGCCAGTGCTCTTAACCACTGAGCCATCTCTCCAGATGGCAGATTCCTTTCTAAATAGGAAGTACAAATATGTCTTTATAACACAGAATATGAAAGTTCCCCCGTGTCTCTTCTGTCTCTTATTATAATGACCAAAGGGGCAGAAAAAGGGAAACTATAGATGAACATATTTGGGGTAAGCACAGCCAAGGCATTTCTGTTTGGAGAGTTCCTCTGGAAGGACTGCTTTGAGAGACACAATTCCTGGTCAGTGAGGATGCCCATGCAGAGAGTACATGATTACATGGGATATAGAAGTTAGTGCTGTAGTATTGTTTACGTCAGACTCTGTGCTGTTGGAGGTCATCTTTTGAACCTGGTTTTATGGTTTCAGAAGGTTATGATTCTACAATATCTCTATGATGAAAACTCAAGTTTCCATCAATACTTATTTCGACTACACATGGTGCTAGGCATTGCTTTGCATAAATATGACAAAGATTGGGGCTGGAGAGATAGTTCAGCAGTAATGAGTACTGATTGCTCTGGCAGAGGACCCAGGTTCGATTCCCAGCACCCACATGGCTATGAATCGTCCTTAAATCCAGGTCCAGGGGAATTTGATGCCCTCTTCTGAACTCTGTGGCATTGTACAACATGACATGGGTGTACTCACATACATGCAGGCAATACACTCCTACGCATAAAAATACTACTACTAATAATAAAGAAATATGACAAAGACATGGGGCTTTGAAGTTAGCTGGAATGTAGTTGGTAGATGTGAGCCTGGAGTCTGTGGGTTCTCATTCTGTTTCTTCTCCCTTTTGGCCGCTCTGTGACTCAGATTTGCCTTTCTCCTTTCCAGGCTGGGATTGATGGAGAAAGCATTGGCAACTGCCCTTTCTCCCAGCGTCTCTTCATGATCCTCTGGCTGAAAGGAGTCGTATTCAATGTCACCACTGTGGATCTGAAAAGGTAAAGGACTCCATTTTCATATGCTTAGCTGTAAGGAACACAGTCTCTGATAAGACAGGGCAAGTGCTGGGAGCCTCTGGTCCTACCTCATTGCCCAGAACCGAGGCCTGAGTGCAAGGGAGACTGCAAAAGCCAGGGCCTGCTGCAGGGCTGCACTCTTTACTACCCTGATTGGCAAGGTTTGATTAGCAATGAGAGAAGGAAATGGCTATGCAACAAATGTCTCAAAGGCAGACACACGCAACTAGAAACATGGAGGCTATCTCCATAGCCCAAGCATATTTATCCGTGCCACTCTGGCGGGACTTCTGGGGTGACAGTCTGAGTCTTCTGGGAGTTGGGATCCAGACTATTTCTGATGCTTTGTTCCCATCCTTCAGACCACTTAGTATAAGAGTTCTGGGCCAGAGGCTTGCATGGGGGCTGGGAGGGAAGTCCCCGCGTTACAGCTTTTTTTTGTTGTTGTTTTTGCTTGTTTTGTTTTTGATACAAGATCATATGTACCCCAGACTGGCCTGGAACCCCCTATGTAGCCAAAGATGATTTAAAAGTCTGATCTTCCTGCCTCTACCTCTGCATGCTGGGATCACAAGCATGCATTACCACACCCTGGCTTATGCAGTGCTGAGGGTTGAATCTGGGTCTTTGTGTATGCTAAAAAAAGAACTCAACCAATGAGCTACAGCCTCAGCCCATTTTCGGTTTATAAAGTTCTGTTTCAGGCTGCTCCAAGTACCAGGCACCATCCTGGATTGGTCCTGTACAGTGTGTCCTTTCCTCTCTCCCTTGGTCTTTAAATGTTCAATGACTGGAGGGTCACTCCCCCAGAATTTTCTTCTGTTCCACCCTCTTCTGTGGTAAGCTTGCATAGTCTTCCTGTGAATTAGTCTATAACTAGAGCCAGGGAGTCATCTGGATAATTCTTCATGGATGTTGTTTTATAACACTTTAGATTTCACGTCTATAATCGTGTCTATTTCTCCCCCCTTGAGATGGATTCTCTTTCTTTCTCTGGTTTCTTTAGGCACCTAAATGTTTCCACCAGTTCCTTTCTTGTGACACCCCCATCAGTAGCAAGTTCAGCCTTTTCTCCTATGGTTTTATCCTTTACCTGCAAGCTTTCTTTTCCCTTCTCAAAGACCACAGCTGGCTCAGGCCTCACCACTGACAGTCTGATCGTTGTTTTTAGGTCTTCAAGTTGTCTTGTCTCTCTCCTCTCTCTCTCTCTCTCTCTCTCTCTCTCTCTCTCTCTCTCTCTCTCTCTCTCACACACACACACACACACACACATCAAACAAACACACATAAAAACATATCTCTTTGCTTTTTTTGAGTGTCGAAGAAACAAAACGAAATGTCCATTATAATGAAAAATGCTTTTGTGAAACTGAATCGAAATGTCAGTAGATCTGTGTGAGTGTGTGGGGGGGGTTGTTTTCATATGTGCATGCACACAGAGGCATAATATATCTCTCTCTCTCTCTCTCTCTCACACACACACACACACACACACACATAACAAAAAGACAATTATGGGGATATACTTGTTCATCTGAGCCTTTGAGTATAATTTTGTTTATTTATAGTGCTGGGGATCAAACTCAGGGCTTTCTGCATGCTAGGCAAGTACTCTACCATTGAACTATATTTTCAATCTTCTGAGTGTAAGCTTTGAAGCCGTAAAGAAGAGACAGAGGTGTCTTACTCATCTCAGGCTAAGAAACTGTCACTGTTTCTCGCTGCCCACCATGTAGATGCTTAGTTCCGTTCCTCCTCACCCTGCCTCCTAACACTACTCTCTGTGTCTTTCCTGTCCACCTGTCAGTCTGGCCTACCTCCTGCTGCTCTTGTTCCCTGAAATAGCACCCTAGGCTGGATGCTTCCTCCATCTAGACAGGCTCTCTCTTCCACATCTCTATAGACTATACACTGTGCCCGGCACCCAGGCTCAGTTTAGCTGCAATGCCTCCGTGACTCCCTCTGTATCCCAGCACTCTCAGGAGTGGCCCTTCAAACTTCCATAACACCTGTTGTCTGGAATTCCCTAGACATAATCATTATTTAGCATTTCACCCAGTTACAACAGCTACGGTCTTAATACTTTATAACTGGTGAGTATTTTCCCATACAAAATCGTGTCAAATATAATTCTATAAAGGAAGTCCCTTTTCTCTATTTTATACAAGGAAACTGAGACAGACCCACTGAGGTGGCTTACTCAAGGTATCTAACGAGAAAAGGGCAGGGCTGTTACTAAGATCTTCCTATCCTTGGATTAAATGATATGCTCTTCAAAACTTACCCATTATAAAGTTTTGAGTTTCTTTGTTTGTTTAAGTTTCTTTGCTATCCTTCAGAGCAACTAGACTTTTACAGACCCTTGGTTAATATCTGCGGAATAAGGGGTCATGTGTCTGCCATGCACTGTCTGTGACAACTGAAAGAGCAGAACTCCACAGTTTGGAAGATGAGCCTTCTACAGAAAACCAGAGGTCTCACCTGGAATTCCCAGCTGGAGCTCAGGCTGGGGAGGGGAGCCTCACTAGCAACCTATGGATGCTGCAGTCGGTCTCTTACACTATCAGGGCTGGCCCTGTAACATCCCTCTGAGGAAGGCCAGTTAAGTAACACTAGTTTTACAGACAAAGACACTTTCTTACTGTTCACACATACACACACTAATTTCTAAGAAAGTTGATTTGTTACTCAGGGACCACTATGATTGGCTGAATGACCTTGAGGTTTTCTGAGGCTAGGTTTTCTCATCAGTCCAATGATGATTTAGAAAAATCGTGCCTTCCATAAGATGAATGCATCTCTCGACTCTCACCAGAAAAACTTCCTTATACAGCAGATGGTGATTAACACAGAAACACACAATTGGCTGATGTGCAGAGAACAAGAGGCCACAGAGTGCTTATCTCTGAATTGGACACCTATTTCAAACCTTTGCCTCCTAAGGCTCAGGGATCATTGAAGAAGAGGCAGAAAGATTTTAAGAGCCAGAGTGGGTGGATGATCACAAGGCAACAGAGTCTTCCAGACAGCTGTTCAGTTACTCATATGAACTCACAGAAATGGTGACAGCACGCACAAGTCCTATGCAAGCTCAAACCAGACAAAATCCCAGCAGAGACATGGGGAAGTGGATAAGAAATCCCAACCCGACCTAAGGAACTTTTAGCAATTGATGGCTGCTGGGAGGGGGAGAGATAGTGTCTTATAGGGATGGGACTCTTGATAGCCTAGTGAATGGGCCCACACTAAAGGGCATTTGGGGATAAAAATCAGACTCTATAAGCCGTATTACATACATAAGAAATTACATTAAATTGGGCAGGGGGGTTGTAAGGGGAGGTAAAAACTGGAAGGGATCTAAATAGCATCAAACTACATTGCATGAAAATTGCAAAAGTTCAATAAAAAATAAAATTAAAATAGTGCCTTCTTCATCCATAGGAGTTTTGTTGAGTGCTTAGGGCAGCGGGTCATATAAAGTATTTGTATTCAGGATTTTACCTGGTTTATTGCATGAACTTGCTACCCCTGAGCCCCCCTTAGCCCCCATGGAGCAAAATCTAGAAGAAAATAAAGATTTGCATGAAATAATTCACAAATCATATCTGGAAAGATGTAATTCTATAATTTCAACAATCAGTGCTTTAGAAAAATCTACAAGGAGAGGAGGGGGCACAACAGGCCAGCACCTTTTTGGCAATACCTGGCTAAGCTTCAGCACTCAGAGGTGGCCCATCCCCAAAGTGTCAGAGTCCAGTGGTCACAGTGCCCTGATGTCCCAGAAGTCAAGCCTCCACCACCATATCAACAAATTTCTGTATCTTTAATCCACAGAGAAGTAACAGTTAAAAAAATAATAATAAACTCGACATCAGCCTTCCTTCCCCTGACAGTGTGAGGTCTCCCAACCAGAAGGAGCCAGCAAGGAATGTCTTTTCACTGTGTGAGAGGAGGGACACCCACAAAGTCAACAAAGACACTGAGTAAATGAGATCTTAAAAATACTTTCCACCTCAGTTGTCTCCGTTCCAAGTGTCACGGAATGCTGCTGGAGAGCCTACACGTTGGGAGTGACAGGAGTGCGGTACCTTGATTGGAATTCTTCTCGTCTCCTCCCTAACTGATTAGGCCAGGAATTTGTCTCATTACAGAGGCTTCTACCGCCTTGTTGACTTTTTCACAGTTCCTCCACCTCATTTTTCCACACCAACGCCCACAAGGAACCTGGTGCACCCAGAGACCATCTGGGGTGATGAATACCCCCAGCGCTGCCCAGACTCCTCAGCCCCTCAGCCCCACTCTTCCTTAGTGCAAACCTCTTGGGTTGTCTAGTTGAGACAGCAGACTTGCCTTCTCTATTCATAGGGCCTGGATGTGTTATACTTGTTTCACCTAAAAGATCCTACTGGCTCCACTAGACTAAATCAGCTTTCATAAAATAAACACTATATTTAATGGCGCCCATTGGAAAAAAGAAGATATTCTTACTTGGAAATGGACTTTTTTGTTGTTTTAGTTCAGTTTAGTTTAGTTTAGTTTTGTTTTTTGAGACAGGGTCTCCCTGTAGCCCCAGATGGCCTAGAGCTTACTAGGTAGACCAGGCTGACCTCCTGGTCTACCCAGTAAGATCCTCTTGCCTCTGCCTCCTGAGTACAGGGATTAAAGTCATGTGCCACCATACTCAGCTTTAAATGGACATTTTATAATTTGACATAATCTTTAAGAACCCTCAAATTTAAAAACAACTCAGGTTGCTCTCTCTCTCTCCATATATATATATAACAGAATTTTTAAATATTTCATAAAAGCAACTACTTTCTAGCAAAATCAGAATTGCGATAGTCATATTTTAAATATAGTATGTGCTTGAGTTAAGTAAAAACTGTAAGAGGTAGACTACCATGGATTATTAACACATTATCCAGATATCTGCCTACTGGTCTCTCCACATTCAGTGGAAAGGAAATCACCTGAGTTGGAAATTGTATCTTTTTTTTTTAATTTGAGGGTTCTTACAGATTATCTCAAATTATAAAAGCTTTCACAATTGAATTGGAGTTGTTATCAATGTCAGACCAAAGTTTGATCTCTAAAGTAAGAGGTGTATTTGGCTTATGTAGCCATTAAATATCTGAAATGCTGGGAACTCCTGCACTCTAGCCACAGCTCTAAGTTCTTTCCCTCTCACAGATCCTGAATTGAAACCCTTTTCTTAGATTCTTAGATATCTTCTAATCTAGCAATAGTGGAGTCTTTTTGGTTGGTTGATTGATTGATTGATTGATTGATTTTTTTTGAGACACTGTTTCATTCTGCAGTCCTTACTGGCCTCAAAATTGCAGGAACCCTCCTCCCTCAGCCTCCCAAGTTCTGGGATGACAGGAGTGTACCACTCTGCCCAGTTCATAATTATTGATGTAGAGTCCTTGGTCACAGCTTATCCAATGTTTTCTGAAAAATAACCTGTTAGATATAACCCCGTAAGTTTTCACCAAGGCCTGTGAATCTGTGATAGAAACCGAGTAATACAAGGCTTTTTGAACATATTGACTCCATTTAATAATTTTAAATTCAACTACTATTTTCTGCATTCTCCAACTCCTGTTTTCCCCATTCTCATGAATACCTTATAGCATGAAATATTTATAGACTGAAAAATATTCTGTTAGTCTGGGAAAAGGCTAACCAGTACTAGAGGTTAATTGCTACATGTTAAAACTTAGATTACTCAGAATGGGAATATTCAAACTTGAACAAATGGCCCAAATTTCACATACACACACACACATACATACACACACACACACACACACACACACACATTTTTTTCTATTTTATTTCTAAGAGTAAAAGTAGGATCCACTGTATTAATGTTTTTAAAGATTTCTTTTACTATTTATGTGTATGTGCTTCTTTGTGTGTGTGTGTGTGTGTGTGTGTGTGTGCGTGTGTGTGTGTGTGTGTGTGTGTGTGTGCACGCGCCCATGTGCATGGATGTGGGTGCCCAGAGAAGCCAGAAGACAGTGTTGGATCCCCTGGAGCTGGAGTTATAGGGGTAGTGAGGCAGCTCACAGTAGTGGGGTTCTCTAGGACAGCAATACATACTCTTAACCTTACAGCCGCCTCTCGAGATCCAATGTATTAAGTTTTAAAGCCTGAAACTGTGTCTTTTCTTAGATGAATTAGTGAAGGAACTTTTGGAAGCAAAGTCCTGCATAGTTAAAAGTAGGAGTTAATTTAGATAGTCACTGGTGATTCTCTCCAATTTTTCCCAAAAGTGCTCGACTCCATCTTGTCCAGTTCCTCTCCCATTTCCTTCCTCCATCCCCTATGGACTTCCTGTGTCACATAACACTCCTGTGTTTTCTCCAGCCTCCACCGCCTTAGGCCCCACACCATGAATCTGGTTAGCACAGGATCTGATTTACAATCTTAGGCTTCTCAGAAGCCTAAGGATTCATGCCATCACCTGAATCTATCTCTCTCTGCAGAAAGCCAGCGGACCTACACAACCTGGCTCCAGGCACACATCCGCCCTTCCTGACCTTCAACGGGGATGTGAAGACTGACGTCAACAAGATTGAAGAGTTCTTGGAGGAGACCTTGACCCCCGAAAAGTAATAAACTGCTTCTTTCCAGAGCTACTGAAAGGCAGAGAGGGTTAACTGAGGGAAGACAGATTTCTAGAGGACTGCCTCAATTTGGAGCAGGAGACCCTGATTTTCCAATAGAGAATATGGAACCCACCCTGTGGGACACCAATCTCAAAAAAAGAAAAAAAATGTCATCCACTAAGGCCACTTGCCAGCAGATGTCATCAGCCAGTTCTTCCTACATAGAGTGACTTTAGGGATTCTGACAAGGTTACCATCCTTCTCTCACCTTTCAGTTGTTCCCCAGACCGTGTCCAAAGACCTCCAGATGGGGTAAGTCTCCCTCATCTCCAGAGGAGAGCCGAAAGGTCAATACAGTGAAAGCAGGAAAGGGGTGCCCAGTAACTGAGCCACTAGAGGCATCATAAATCGACCACGTCACAGTTAAACTGATGAAAATACCAACTGGTACCAGGACAAGTAAGAACAGGGACTAGAAGCTCTTGTGGGGCAGATTAACTGCTGCCTACAGCCCACTGGAAACAGCTGGGTGTAGACTTTTAGCAAAGGCATTAATTCAATCAGCATGGCACACACACACACACACACACACACACACACACACAGACACACACACACACACCACCCAGCTGGCTGCAGCCAGAAGTCACACATGTCTCTGAACAGGACACCAGCTGCCACTTGGCTGGAAATGCCCTGACAGGGGCTGGCTCCTAATTCCTTTTCTGTCCTTTGGAGCTTGACCTCGTTTGCTTAGACTGGTTGCAAATCCCAAAGGACAAGCATAACTCAAGCAGAATTTACCCTTTGCCTGTTGAGTTTCACGTTGTCTCTTTGGAACTAATCCTCTCATTCGGGAATGTCTGCTCCCACCCAGTTGAGCAGGGAGGAAATGAAAGTGAAAGAAATGAGTTGGGTGGTCCCCTTGACCTTCTGCCAAGGCCGTAGATGGGATGTGCTCCTGGCTCTGCCAAGGGGACCTGTGTGCCCTCCTGATCCACCCTTTCTCTGCCCTGGGATCTCAGTCCTCCTCTGTAAAAGAATGACCCCCTAGACCCTTCCCTACTCTAGCTCTTCATATACACTTTAGCCAAGTTACCCACCTGTCATCACCCCAAATCTAGATGTCTTTCCCTGGCTGTTTAACTCAAGTGACTCTACCGTGTGACCACATTGAGACCAACAGGGCACAAAGACTCTGAAGTCATATGTCCCTGAACATTCTTCCTGAGGAAGGTCATTATCGAATCTACCGTCTTTTTGTCAGATAGTAAAGTTTCCATGCTGCAATCAAGGCCTCGCAGTATTGGGTGGGGACATGCCATCTTCTCCTCCCTGCTCGTACGTGCTACCTGAGCCGAGCATGCTGCTTCTCACCCAGGTCTTTTCTGGACTTCAGTTAAGTACAGGATGTTTGATGAAGGGTATCCTTGTCATGCTAGGGAACTGGGTATCCAGCAGTTAGTAGCCCCTCTAACTTATTAAATGTATGCTTTCTGAAGGCTCCTAAAGTAAGGGACAAGTGATCGTTGATTCTTGGGGATACCAGCCCCAGGAGTGTCCTCAGATGCCTTGTAACCATCGGATGAGGGCAGATGCTACAGTTACCTCACAGCAAATGCTAGGAAATCAGCAGTTGGGCTCCAAGCCCAGAGTCCTGCCAGTCTGCCTGCAAGCCACCGGCCTCAGTCAGCCTCCTCACTGACATGGGCTGGAAGGTGGAGTGCTTTGTGTTCAGAGTCCTATGGAGTAGCGTAGCCTGGCCGTCTGGTTCTCCAGGGGGCAGCAAACAGCCCTGTTCCCCGAGGCTGCCGGGTCATGTGTTTCTCATCATGCTGCTGTTTGTAAAAACTGCGAGAGCCAAGACATTGAGGGAGACTTTTCCCCCCTTAGCCTTATTTCTTAAGGGAAAAAACACATACAAAAACTCTAGCAATTTAAAAAAATCATATTAGGTTCCATAGAACATTAAGTGACAAAATGAAGAATCCAGGAAATCTCAAGTAGTTTCTAAATGAGACTAACATCCTGCCCTTTCTGTGGCTAATGCTGAGCGAGGAAGTGTTTGAAAGGATGATGAGCTATAATTTCCAAGTTCCCTTTCAGCTCAAGTTCTGTGCTTCATGAGCATCCCAAAGATCTTCCCCAAACTGACTCTATTTCAAATAATCCTAAGGCATAGAAGCTGGGATAAAGACTCAGGAGGCTAGGGGCTGGGGAGATGGCTCAACTCATTCTGCAAGCACAAGGACCAGAGTCGGATCCCCAGAAACCCACATAAATTCCAGGTGGGCATGGAAACCTGCCTGTAATTCCAGCCTGTGATGGTAGAAACAGGGGATTCCCCAGAGCAAGCCTAGCCATATTAGTGAGCTCCGGGTTTGATTGAGAGACCTTGCATTAATGGATAAAGTGAAAGAATGATGGAAGATGAATCCAGACATTAATCTCCAGCCTCCACATGTGCATGTGTACCCACACACATGCAGAAACATGCATACACATGCATCACACACACACACACACACACAGTGGAAAGGGGGGATACAAGAATTCAAATACTAAACTAAAGCCATTTAATTACATAGCATGTGGTTGTGGCAGTCAGATAGCAAATGTGCGCTGAATGTTAACAGGATTCAGAACACTTCGAACTTCAATACACTGTGAATTTTTCATTTAAAAAATGTATGACTCTCTCACAGTGATGAAAATCAGTAATATTCCTCTGGAAAGTAGAGAAACCGCTTTTGAACCTCCCACAGGATGGCTGAATGTGGGCTTTGCAGTCATAATAACGTCTGTTCAAGTCCATAACACCAGGTGGCGCTCTCATGCAGTAACATGAGGGGTGCAAGGTAGCGGTGGCTTAACAGGACAAAAGTTTTGGTTGGTGGCATGGTCCTCTTCTGCCTGTAGCTGTATGTGACCTCCAAGGTATTTACAGCAGAGAAAGCCAGAAAAGGGACAGTGCATAGTGTCTTTAAGAGCCAGAGCCATGAGCAATTAAGCCACTTCTCATCTTGTCCCACTGACACAAACCCCAGTCACATGACCCCAGTGTAACTGGCTGGGAAATGCAGAGAATCCGGTGGATATTTAGTAAGCATGAGCAGTCTCTGCTACAGGTCATTTTTTAAAAAGTTTTCTAGTCTTTGATTCTCATATGTCCTGTGACACTTCCTGAGGAGACAGGAACAAATATCTAGTCACCCCAGAGAGGGCCACATGACAGACGAATGAAATGATTCTACTCAAGTCTGGTTTGGTGAATCAATGAGTCTATCAGAGTTACTTACAGGAGCATGGCTGACTCAAAGGCAGTTACATCACCAAATAACCCTTTCCAGCTTTATCCCTGGAATACCCTGTATAACTTACAGGCAACTCTACCAGGCTGACTCTTGTTCCACAGATGATAACCTGAGGGAAAGGCTTTACAAATTCTGCAACTTTCTGAGCTTTAGTCTAAAAAAACTTCCCTCCATTCTCCAGGAGGGAATGTTTCAATTTGGAGGAAATAACTATATAATATCAGAACTATAAACAGAGGACCAAAATGCTAGTCTTACAGGACTAGTATAGGAGATCCTGCTGCCTAGTCCAGTGCCATAGAGGGAATGCTCATTAAATGATAGAGTGAGAAACAGAGTTCACGCCTGTTCTGTGGCTGTATTCCAGGTACAGTCCTAAGGACCCTTCGTGACCTTACGTCTTAAACAACAGAGCCTAAGGGATGCCATAAGATGAATAAGCAGGACCTCAAGGATCTTATTCTTTAATAGTGTAGACAAGCCAAACAGACACACAGTTGAGGAGAGCTGGAGCCATTAACGTGCCCATCAAGTGAGGGTTTGTCAAAGTGAGGAAGCAGGAATCACAGAGGAGAGGGAGTGTTCTTGCTTCTTGGCATGGTAGGAAAACAACAGTCTATACTTGAGCTGCCAGACAAGATCCCTAAATCAGCAGATGCAACTCTATGAAGACTGGGTCTCTTTATCTCCAGTACATCCCTCCAAACAGGCACAGGGCCTGGCCCTGGTTTGGTACTTACTACACGTTGGTTTAACTTTCTTCAGTGGTATGGCAGCCTGTGGCTGGTCCATAAGGGGTCATCTGGCACTAAGTCAGTCACAACACTTGCCAGTTGCAATTTTTTATTTATTTGTTTTCCTGCTATTTTGTGTGTCAGAGAGAGACACTAACTGTTTTATTTCCCAGAATGAAGTTTAAAGTGCAGATCTAAGTGAGTGCATTTGAAATAAGATACCTTAAAGACAGGGTGGAAAGTGATTTTCATCAGTTAAGTCAAAACTGGCAAATGTTAGTTGTTGAAGGCCAGAGAGTGAATGTCTCTGGCTTTGTGGGTCACACAGGGTCTGTGGTAATTCTGCTGTTGTCCCACGAGAGTAGTCATGGCCAGCATGTGAATTGGTGGGTGTGAGTGTGTTCTGATAAAATTGCACTCACCAGCCAGGGAGATGGCTCTGTGCAAGAGTTCAGCTCCATAGAACCCACTTAAAAGTCAGTAAAACATGGTGGCTGCTTCTAATGCCAGCACCTAGGAGGCAGACAGGATTCCTGGGACAAGCCGGCAAGTTAGACTATACGAATCAGGGTGCCCTGGGTTTAATTGAGAGACCCTTGTTTGATAAATAAAATGGAGAGTGATTGAGGGAGACATTGGACTTAATATTGAACCTCAACATGCATATGCACACACTCATACAAACATGGAAAATACTTGTGGGCAGTGAAATTTAAATTTTATATTATTTTCACATAATATAATTTTTCCAACTATTTATTTTATCTTTTTGAAAATATTTTATTATTTTTGTTTTATGTGTATTGTCTGCATATATGTAAGAGCACCTGCACCATGCAATACCCACAGAAGAGGTTGTCAGATACCCTGTAACTGGAATTACAGATGACTGTTAGCTGCCATGTGCGTGCTGGGAACTGAACCCAGGCCCTCTGTGAGAGCAACCAATGATCCATCTGAGCCACTGAGCCATCTCTCTGATGAACCACTGAGCCATCTCTCCAGCCTCAAAAGTTTTTTCTTTCTTTATTTGATAAATAAAATAGGCTATGGTCTCCCTATAGCCCCACCTGGCCTGGAACTTACTATGTAGACCAGGCCGGTTTTGATCTTGCAGAGATCCATCTGTCTCTGCCCCCCAGTTGCTGAGATTAAAGATGTGTACTACCACGCTGTAAGTCAAATTCACTGCTGGGAGGTGCACGTGGCATCCAATCCCCTCCTCCCACTGTCCTTGCAACAGCCTGAGGAAAAAATTCTCCAAACCCCAGTTTGAAGAATCTTAGTGAGTTTATTGGACTTGCTAACTGAGCTTGGCGTGCAGGTTTACTTACAGACAAGCGGGCGCACCGCCCCCCCATTCATGGCTGTGTTCGAAAGTCCACACCTAGACATAAATCCCGTGGCTCCAGACAGCCTTACAAAATGGTGAAAGACCAGCTTCCTGGTTTTCCCAGCATTTATACCATCAGCTCCTCCCCTGAAAGCAGCTATAGTCAACTGAATGGTTGTAAGAGGGAAGGGGAGTGGCTTCTTTGCCGAAGGTGGGAAGGAGGCGGGTCCATGGCTTGTCATCACAGGGTCAGAGGAACATCCATATCATACACGCCTTGCTGGTTACCTGGCTATTTAGAAGTGTAAAAAGTATTGAGCCATTGTTAGCTTGAGAGCCATGCACAAACAGAGGTCATAGTCTATAGCTCATTTTGAATTAGAGAGCTCAATCTTCCTTTCGATTGTCATCAGACTCAGAGGTGTTTCTATGAATGAAATATTGTCTATTAGCTTTTCAAAGAAGCAAAAAATACTCTTCATCCCCTCCTTTCCATACATAAAAATTTATTTTATTATTTGTGTGTGTGTGTGTGTGTGTGTGTGTGTGTGTGCATATGAATGCAGGTGTCTGTGTGCAGAGGCCAAAAGAGGGCATCAGATCACCTAGAGTTACAGTTACAGGTTGTTCTGAATGGCCCATTGTAAGTTCTGGGAACCAAATTCCAGTCCTCTGTGAGAACAGCAAATGCTCTTAATTATTAAACTGTCTTTCCAGCCCCCTTTGCATATTTAAAATTGTGCACAAATATGAATATACTTAACATGTTCCATGGCAGCCTCCTTCCAGGGTAGTCATTGAAATCTGTGAGATTTAACTTCTTGGAGACCTACTTTCCACAAGAGCGAACTTCAAAGGCAAGGTTATGTTCTACAGTAAAGTTTCAATGAATCACAGAGATGAGGAAACAGCATGACATTGCGGTGGGCCCCCTGAATGCAAAGTCTTTTGTTGTCTATCTTAGATCTGATATCCTGGGCCCATATTTGGCCCAATCTGGCTATAAAGACATGGCAAGATTATTAGAATTTTTATACATAAGGAAAAGCAAAACAACCAACTCAAACTGTCCACTAAAATGCATATTCTAGATCCTGTTTATTTTAAATCGTCAAGGAGAAACAAAGAACATTGGTTCTGATTAAATTGGTAATATTATAAATCTATTAATCCTAATATAATTATGACATAATCTTACATTAGAAAGTCAATAAAGGGGTCTGGAGAGATGGCTCAGCAGTTAAGAGCACTGACTGCTCTTGCAGAGGACCCAGGTTCAATTCCCAGCACCCACATGATAGCTAACAACCATCAGTAACTCTACTTCCATGAGATCCGACACCCTCTTCTGACCTCCATGGGCTTTGCACAACACGGGTGCACTTACCTGCATGTAGGTAATACACTCATACACATAAAATAAAAGATAATATTTTTTTAAAAAGAAAGTCAATATAGAGAGGGATGATGCAAAAGTCCCACATCTTGGCAGATTACCTAGCAGGTAGCAGGAAACCTTGTTTTAGCCCCCAACACTGTATTCTGTTGTACTATTCTGTGTAGTGTTGACACAGCTGTTGATGGGAGCACAGAGTACCCCCTCCTTTGGATGGAGACCGCTCATCCATGGTACAGAGCCCAGTTTTGAGGCCCCTACGGCTTTGAGGTCAAATAATTGTGGCCAAGAGGCCACAACATACAGGATAGAAAAACTGGGCTTCCAAAATAAAACTGCATGGGCTGGGATGCTGGTTCTGTCAATTACGTGACTCCAAGCAAATAGATTAACCTTTCTGTGCCTTGATTTCTTTGCATGGGCAGTGAGGGTAGAGTTGGTACCAATAAGACTTGGGGATGAGTGAATGATGTATTCAAAAGAGGCTTTGGACAGTGCCTAGGTCATGGCAGCCACACAGTACGAGTTAGTTTTTCCAGAGCAGTACAGTTATCAAGTAGGAAGGCACTGCTCTAAGATAACAAAACAAGGTTCTGTCGTGCCCTATTTTTTAATTGCTTTGGGTCCTTGAATGATCATTTAATGTAGGCCTCCAACAACTTTGCTACACTTTCCTCATCTGCCTGATGTAGAGAGTCATCCCCTATATCTTTCTGAGGACTTTTCCAATTGCGGTATCTCTGACATTAAACAGCTACTTGTCACAGCCCCAAGCGTGGGACAACCCTAGTGACTGATATCTTTAAAGAGCAAGGAAATGTAAGAATAAAACGAACGATTTCTGTGTGTGTGTGTGTGTGTGTATGTGTGTGTGCAGGTACACATGTGTGTATGTATGTATGTATGTATTTATATGTGCATATAGAGACCAGAGGTCAACCTTCGGTGTCATTCCTCAAGTGTTGTCTACGATGTTTTTTGAGACAGGGTCTCTCACTGGCCCAGCACTCACCAATTAGACCAGGCTAGCTGCAAAGCTTCAGAAGATCCACCTGTCTCCACCTCCCCAGAGTTGGGATTATAAGCATGCCACCATACTCAGCTTTTTTATGTGGGTTCTGGGGTCAAATTTTGGTCTTCATCTTGTTATCCTTACTGACCGAGCCATCTTCCAGTCCCACAAAAAATGTTTAGAGACTTCGACTGAAAGCATTAAAATTAAAAATCGCTTTATAAACATAAAACAACCATGAAGTTCACAGTCAAAAACTGTTCTGTAAGCCCCAACGTCACTGTTAATAATAACAAGCAGACCACCTTCCCCCATCACCACCCCCTTCTGCCTGGCCATGCACATAGTGCTTGTGAAAGAACATTTTTTAAATTACAATTACTCATGTTGATGACGCTGCTGGGTCAAATCCAAGGATCCCCACACGTGTTCCCTAACCTCTTTCAGTCCCAAGGTCAAAGGTCCTAAGCCCAGCCCACCTCTCGTACTCCTTCGACTTCAGAATGAGAGAAAGATAAAGGGACAGAGTGGGGGTCTTTGCAAATTTACCTCCATACTTGGAAATCAAAACAATTGAAAACACATGTCCTATGGGCAGAGTCTGGTGAGTTCTGCACCTTATTACTGTGCATATGTAATAAGCATCTCAAAGACATTTTAAAAGCATACAGATAACATTTTTCCTCTGAAGAAATGGTTTAGCATCTTGCTACTAAGGGACAAGGCACCCACTTGCTCTGAAAAGCTAGAATTGTGAGGGTGGATCTGAAAGTGGATGGGTATTTTCATGTGTGAACAGGGGCAATGTCAGGGACCCCACCTGACAAAGAGGCACATTGTGTCACTAGTGCGTGACTGAGGGTGGTTCCAGGAAGAGGATACACCCTGAACCCCATGGGTGGCATTCTGAGCTTTAGCCAACAGTCACTCAGGGCAACCCTCAGTTTCTCAGTGACCCCTGGTTTCCTTTATTGTGCATGATGCCTGAGTGCCCACCCTCCCTGTAGGAGGTTGCAAAACTCTAAAAGATGGGTAGATCCAGCCAGGAAGGGGAGTGTTGCTCACTATAATGAGGACAGTTTCACCCCTAAAGGAACTTTGCTCTTACAGTTTCATAGAACACCATGTCTTCCCTTCCAGATACCCCAAACTGGCTGCGAAACACCGGGAGTCCAACACAGCAGGTATTGACATCTTCTCCAAGTTCTCTGCCTACATCAAAAACACCAAGCAGCAAAACAATGCCGGTGAGTGACTCTTCTTCAGGAGCCCTGGTAGTGTCTGCTTCCTGCCAAGTGGTGTGTCTTTGGTACCCATGCCCATATCAGATCCTTGGGCCAGAGAAGCATCTGGAACCAGCACTGCTAGTTATGAGGGAGATTATAGATGCAGCCACCTGACCAGTGCAGGGGAAACAACAGTAGGCTAATGCTGACTCAGAGGCAGGGATGCAGCTTGCTTCAGGAGGCTGCCTTATGGCACAGGAAAATATATGACATGGAAGGGTTCTTGATACTGTGCATTTGTCCCAGGCGTACAAACCCATCTGTGTTCACAGACGGACACATATTCCTACTCCTTTCTAGTCCCTGCATGACTTCTCAGGGACTAAGCAGAAGCCGTGCAGGGGGCAATGAGGTTCACACTTGGGTGAATGATGCAGACCCAGTCCTCAGTAGCGTCCTCACCAGGAGTCAGGGGAGTGTCAGGAAGGACTTCTGAAAGCCTGGCTCCTCCTCCTCCAGGCCTTTCATTTCTGGTACTGACTACAGACCCAGGACCTGATTCTCTTATGATGCCACTTCATAGGGGGCTGAGCACCTCACATTTAAGATCTTGGTGACTTTAGCCCCTTATCCAGCATTATCCTCTAAGGATTTGCTGAAGCCATTTGAATGAGCATGAATGACACCTGAAGACTGGTGTGAGGCCCTTGAAAGAAAGGCAGGAAGGAGAGCATTCCCTTCACCTCTCAGTGAGAGGATGAGCCGAATCCCTGGGTCATGGCACCAAGCAGAGGAAGCACTGCATGGATCTGTATGAATTGACCCATCTAGGATGCACGGTGGACCACTGGAAGACGGCAAATGCCAGGTACCCCTGGAGTTCAGAGAAAGAGTACTTCTGGGTAGCTGTGAGAGAGAAGAAACAGTGATGGGAATAGAATTAGTGCAGGAAGTCTGTCACAGCTAGTGAGGACCTGGATTGTGCCGAGTGCAGAATAAGACCCTGGAGGTACAAAGATAAAACCTCTTGAAAGTGTTTCAAATGGCATAAAGGGTAAGAGGGAATCGGTTCTCTAAGAACAGAGTGCAAGATGTAGAAGATGATAAAAGTCAAGGAAGGGTTTCTTTTGACTCACAGTTTGAGGATCCAGTCCATCATGGGGAGAAGTCACGGTGGCAAGAGTGTGAGGCAGCAGGTCACTTTGTATCCACAGTTTCCTGTGCTTGCTGGTGCTGGAGAAAAACTCCAAGTCAAACACAAATCAGAAGACAAGAGGCACAGTATAGCTTAATCACAGGAAGTTGGAAAAGCTGATAAATGGCCCTGCAAAAGAAAAAGCAATTCCTGTAAAGGTATTTAGAGTAGGAATTTGTCTAAGGTCCTCTGAGAAAGCTCCAAGGATTTCAAATGGAGCTAAGAACTCAGAGTGCAGGATATGGGAAAGATGGATCAAAAGCTAGGACAGAGTCCAGAAAAAGGCCAGGGCCTACAGCGCCAGTCTGGGCATCTTTGATTTTATTCCATGGGCAACAGTAGCCACTACCAGGACATTAGAGTCACTATAAGGAAAGTGACCTTTAGGGGACAAGGAGCAGCCTGTATAAACTATTTTAAGCAGACTTGGTGATCTTGCTTCATTGCTGTTTGGATTCTGTAGTTAGTTGAATAGTACCCCTCCTCTCAAAGGCCATGACCACCTAGGATCTTAGAATATTTGGAAATAAGGTCTTTGTAAATGTGATTAGATCAGGATCTCAAGATGAGACCATTCTGTACTAGATGTGGTCTCTAAATCCAATGACAGGTGTCCCTCAAAACAATCACGGGAAAGAACAGTTACTGAAACTTTTCCTGGCCCAGGATCCAGAGGCAAAGATGGATCAGGGACTTCCCTCTTCCCAGAGGGCCCAGCAGGCTCTTGAATTCTGTTTTCTTCAGTCTTTGTATCCAGTGTCCTTTCATCCCAACCACAAATATCTTCCTTCATGCTTGTCAGAGCGCCCTCAGAAAGATTATCTCATTTGAACCTTCCAGATTTTTAAAATTAAGAATGGTATTTACATATCATCCATATTTACAGTCCTCTTCTCCCCAAAACCAAAGCAGCAGTTTCCACAGAGCACCGTGTATCAATTTCCTATAAACCCAATACTCTCCAATTTTCATTGTTTGTCTTCTTCTGTTTCACTTTGGTTTTCTCCATAATCAGCTTTGCCCTTGTGACTCCTTCCCCTAACTCATTTGCACATTTCAAAGCTGTGGCATTTCTGCTTTCCAGAAAGAGAGCTGCCCCCACCCCACAAGTTGTTCCTCTCTGGCCCCCTTTTAATGAGATCACGCAGCCTCCTTCCTTGGACCTCAAACATGCCCGCTCCCCTGCCTTTCCATCACTTTTCCTTCTTCCTGTCCCATCCCGCTCAGTTTTGGTCAGTAGGGTTCAAACGTTCTTAGACTCAGCAAGCCAGGGACTCATGCTTCTACAGACCTGTTGTCACATAGAGAGCAGCATCACTCCTGCAAGGGGGCTCCTAGGCCAGACCCAACTCCATGCTCATATCCCACGTGTCCCAGGAGATGGGCCCTGACTCTTTCTGCCTTGCTGGAGCTCCGGGACTGGCAGCTTCCAGCCCCTGTCTTCCTTGGGCAGGCTTCCTGACTGTACCACTCTGCCCCTTTTCTGTCTGGGTCTTCATTTGACCATTTGTTTTTCATCGTACTTTTTTTCTGAGACAAGATCTCATTATATAGTCTCAATTGGCCTGAAACTCTCTATGTAGATCATCCCATGCTGGTCTTGATCTCACAGATATCCACCTGCCTCTGCCTCCTGAGTGCTGGGATTAAAGGCATGCACCATCATACCTGGCTCTTTTCAAATTTTTAAACCTTTTTACTTTGTGTACATGTGTGTGCTTGTTCATGTGTGTGAAGGTGCATGTGTGTATGATGGAATGTGCACATTCATATGTGTGCACACGCATGTGAATGCTAGAAGTCAATTCCAGGAGTCATTCCTCAGGCAGTATTTACCTTGTTTTCATGAGACAAGTTCTCTCACTGGCCTGAAACTCACCAATTAGGAAGGCTGACCAATGAGCCCCAAAGATCCACCTAATTCTGTCTCATCGATTCTGGGATTGCCCGTTCTGCCAATGTGCCCAGCTTTTCCATGTGGGTTTTGGGGTTAAACTCAGGTCTTCATTGTTATACAGCAAGTGCTATACCTACCAAGCTAACCCCCCAGCCCTCTTTTTTCCCTCTTGAGCAGATCCTTCCCTTCCTTCCTCCCCTAGACACACTGGCCGTGGTCATGACCTATCCTTATACCATCACCATGGAAGCAGGAGAAAAGCCCAGGCTGCAAATGTGGCTCTGTGTGGTCAGTCACCCCTCCACTTATATGTGGCTACAGGAATCACCATTCAAAATATTCTTGTGGTTCCACAAAGTCTCCAAAGCCCCGAACTATTGGAATACGGATCTCATCCATGGAAATCACCCTGACTAGTCATCGGGAGAATTGCCCATGAGTTTGTTCACTCAGTCACTCATTTAGCCATTCAACAGAATTTCATGAGGGCTGGGGAGATGGCTCAGAGGAGGAGAGTGCTTGCTCTGCAAGCATGAGGACCTGAGTTCAGACTCCCAGCAACCATGCTAAAAGCCAAGCATGGCTATGTGAGCCTGTAACCCTATGACCGGGAGTAGAGACAGGCTGATCCCGAAAGATTGATGGTTGGCCACCTTAGCCAAAATGTCAAGCTTCCAGTTCAGCGAGAGAACCTGTCCCAAGGTTCTCTTGTCTCAAGGCAAGAGAGAACCTTGTCCCAAGGCAATAAGGTAGACAGCGATACAGGAAAAGACCTCTTCTGGCCTCAGTGTACACATGCACCTGCATGCACATGTGCACATCCCCCCCCCCAACACACACACATTGCATAGAGACTTGCTCACTGTGTACATTCCCTGGAGCTAAATCCCTTTTGATTGCTTTTCCTGTGGGGCATTTGCCCACTGTTCAGATTCTCTGAGAGAGAACCCAGCCTAAGGAAGACATAGGGCTCTTCTCCTGAGGAGAGATGTTGAGATGGAATTGAATAGAATCAGGAGAAAGTCCTTGTGACCCCAAGAAAGGACACCTTTGAGACAAAGAAAAAAAGCAACGGATGTGGCTGCAGGGCCTACAGCCGTCCCTTCTCTGGCTTCTCACTTGTGACCTTTTCCATCGAGGAGGAAAAAGTCACTTCACTTGGTATTGGGGGTTCTCAGAATGCTGAAGTGAAAGAACCAGGGGAGCACACAAGCCTCCTATCCTCTTTCTCAAATCCTGTACCAATCAAGCATTTCAGTCAGGCAGCTCTGGCTTCCCCCTGATCACTGCTCGCATACATGGTGCCTGGCCACATGGTAGAGTTCAGCCTGCATCTCTAGCTTCCTGTCCTCTCAGTCTTCTGGGGATACCCCCTCATTTCCTGATCCTGTTCCTTGTACCCTCCTCTGAGATATCACCAGGGCACAGGGACTGCAGATCAACCAAGAGGGGCAGCAGACCCGGCAGTCCCAGCACCCTGCACATCTTGACTACAAGGCCTTGCGTGTGCCCTGCCAGGAACCTCGGTTTGGCTCCATGGGTTCCTCTCTTCCCTGGAGGGGTTTCTTTTACACCTTTCTTGAGCCCATCTCTCCTTCATTCTCTGTCATATCCCAAGACAATTTAGGCTTCTCCCTCTGAACACTCATTTTACAGAACAGACTCGGCTAAATCACTTGGCTTTCAACGTCTATTATTTTCAGGTACTTACCCTAATTTGGGTAAGTACATAGTGTATTTTCCTTCGGTTTTAACAATCTCTCTGTCTCCTTACGCTTCAGTCCTACCAGTTCTCTGGGTTTATTTCATGTTTTGTACATATGGTACATTTCAGACAATTAGCAAGTGGATGGCATGCATGCTCTATTCTCTATTCTTATTAGCTCATTTGAGAGCCCCTTTTTATTTCTTCCAACCCTATCACATTTC